GGATACCGGAGGTTAGTTTGGAGGTCCTGGGACAGACGATTACATCCGAGGGCAAGATTAAGGTGCTGGGGGTGTGGATCGACAAAAATTTGTCATTCATCCCCCACGCACGGGAAGCAAGTGCGAAGGCCATGAGACTATACGGGGCGCTGAGTAAAATAATGCCAAATACCGGAGGGGTCCGGGCAAGCAAAAGAAGGGTGATGGCGTCGGCGGTCATGTCCGGACTGTTGTATGCGGCCGAGGCATGGCAGGCGGCAACGAAGTGGGCGAGTGCGATGGCCATCATGAACCGGGTGATCAGGCTGCTGGCAGTCCGGATATGTAGCGCATATAGGACGGTGCAGGCCGACGACGTCATGGTGGTGGCTGGGATTCCCCCCGCGGAAGTACTCTGTAACGGCAGAGCGAACGGGTGGAGCGAGGCGAGGAGAACGGAGGAGTGGCAGTCACTTTGGCGGACGAGAGTGTCATGGACGAAGACACTGATACCGGACCTGACAGAATGGAAGGATAGAAGCCACGGGGAAGTGGATTACCACCTCACGCAGCTGTTAACGGGGCACGGCGAAAACGGGGTGTTCCTTGCCAAGATCGGCAAGAGAGTGGACGAAAGGTGCCGAGATTGCGGACAGCGAGACCATCAGGGGCACGCAGCGTTTGAGTGTCAGAGATGGGCGGCGGAGAGGGCGGTGATGGAAACCGAGGTGGGAGTGCGACTAGGGCCACACAACCTAATAAGCACGATGCTGCGAGACGAGGCGAGTTGGGGCGCGATAGCGCGGTACTGGCGGGTAGTGTGTAGTGCGAGAGAGAGGGACTCGTGGAGTAGGACATAGTGCGGGGAGAGTGACACATAAGTGTGAAAGGCAAAGACACAAGGCTTAAATCTAGGTGGCGAACAACGGCCACCGGACCATCCTCGGCCGCGAAGAATGCCAACAGGCGATACCCGGCCGAGCCACCAGGTCATAGAGAGAGGAAAGGGTTTTAGTGGGTAAACCTTCCTAGATGGAAGGGAGTCCTACACACCCCCCGCTATAGAGCCAAGCGGGGAAGCCTATAAAAGGTTTCCCGAACCTCAATAAAAAAAAAAAAAAAAAAAGGTTAGGTTAGGTTAGGTTAGGTTAGGTTAGGTTAGGTTAGGTTAGGTTAGGTTAGGTTAGGTTAGGTTAGGTTAGGTTAGGTTAGGTTAGGTTAGGTTAGGGTTGGTTAGGTTAGGTTAGGTTAGGTTAGGTTAGGTTAGGTTAGGTTAGGTTAGGTTAGGTTAGGTTAGGTTAGGTTAGGTTAGGTTAACACTCGGGGGGTGTTTGATTTTCGAAAGTTATACATCGTCGGAAAGGCCATTTAAAGACGCGTCGATAGACCCAAAGGGGCACTCAAGTTTCTCAAAAACGTCGGAGTTATGGCCGTAAGTGTTTTTCGAGACATTTGGGGTAATAACTCCGAAAAGTCGAGGTCACATGTCGGGGTCGAGGGGCAATTTCGAAAGCCAAAGAACGCGGCTTTCCAACGATCCCTCACACTTTAAGATCGACTCGCGAATAACGAGGGGGCAGCCTCTCAAAGATTGCCAAATTTTGTCAAAATTTTCAAAAATTTTTTTCTCAAAAACCAAAAGGCCGATCGAGGAACGGATTACTTATTTCTTAAACGCCGGTCGAGGAGAGCGCACAAAAAAATTACGGTCCAAATCGCAGACAAAAAATTTTTTTCATAATCATCCCTTGGTCCCCCCTTCCAATTTAAAAAAAAAAACTTTTTTATTTACCGTCCGATTTTCAAAATTCGACCGGCGTTGGATAGATCTCGTCGAAAAAGCAAAAATCCAATCATAAAACGTTCGGGGTCATATATAAACGAGGGCGCTAGAGGGCGATTTAGGGGATGACAAAAAAAATTAAAAATTGACGAAATTTGGCACACACGTTTGTACGGACCTTAGAAAGTCTCCGGTACAACTTTTACCCCTTTACGACCAAAGGGAAGGGTAATAGGGGGTGATAATAGGTTAGAGGTTAGGTTAGAGGTTAGGTTAGAGGTTAGGTTAGAGGTTAGGTTAGAGGTTAGGTTAGAGGTTAGGTTAGAGGTTAGGTTAGAGGTTAGGTTAGAGGTTAGGTTAGGTTAGAGGTTAGGTAGCATTGAAAGCATGCTGCGAAATAAAATTACTATCTGATTAGGAGAATACAAATTCACTACTAAACTTGGATTTATTCTCAGTAGCCGGCTAACATTCAACGTGAGGGTCGTAAAGTTCGGTATTCTGCCAGGAAAACTTGCTACTACAAAACTCAAATCTTAAGGGCGCCAGATCTAGCGAGGTAATAAATCCTCTTGATCAAGGAGAATAGGCTCTTCCAAGCATAGCATAATGAAGGTGTAAAAAAACTAGGTATTGTGGCAGAGAGGAATTTAATACGTCTGTATTTCGATTTAAAATTAAATATGATTACCTAGTATGTAACTACAAATTATAATTGTGGTGTGAAGCACGGTAACAATAATAAAGGAAAAAAACTAATAGGATTAATTCGTCCACACCGCAAAAATCAACAGTGTCAACAATATCTTACTACGGTAATTAATACGGGTTCTGGATTCGCTAGCTAGCCCCGCACCCTGTTTATATTTGGGCCAAATAGAGGTTAGTACAGATAGACCTCCCAACTGAGAACAAAACGAATTTTCCTTCACAGGTAAGTATTATCATGAATGTAATTATTTGTAATTAAATGGTAAGAATTAACTCTTTTGATTTCAGTTTACATAAACCTTGAAGAGGGTTCATCAACTCAAAGCCACAAAAATTGTAAGTATGCAAATACAGGTTAATTATGATTAATTAATTTTTATTCTCCCACTTTATTTCAGAACAAACGCAGATGCAGCAAGGTAAGGTACCAGTAAGTGCCAGATTTTAGGCAGCGGAACAAAAAAAGCTGAAAGTTATGAGATACTCTATATCTAGCTTAAGAGATACCTAATTCTTACCTAGATGTTATAGCTTGCAACTCGTCCGCAATGTTCTAAACTACAAATTACAAAGTTTTAATACTACACTACCTATCAATTATTTATCCTACCTCAAACTTATGACCACCATCCTAATATTCTAATTCGACGTTGTTTCCTAACTATATACACTAATCAAATTCCCAATTGGTATTCTCTGTAAATGATAGCTTTAATAATTTAGAAAAGTTGTAATTAAATTTACCTTCAGGCTGCTTCAAATCTGATAAAACAAACTACTTATACTGATTCCCAACTATACCATCAATTCGATCAGCCAACCAGTATCAGATACCTACAGGAGCTAGGAGATAAATCCTGATAAACAGTGAATTCCAATAATTATAATTCTCTATCTCCCTAGCCGCACGAAAAGCTAACCCAATCTACTCTACCTCGAAAAATATCCGTTTTTCCCAAAATTGATATCCCAAGAATTTCCAAGTGGGAAATGCCCTTATGATAACTAAATTGTTAAATCTAGTGTTAAATTTGCCTAAAACTATGCAAAATATCATACAGCTCTAACCTGAACTACCCTAACTATCTACTACCTACCTTACACACTATTTCAAATTGCTACAAGCATACCTTCCCCTTCTCGCAAGGGAAAACAGAGATACACGTTTGCATCTGTATTGGAAAAGAATTGAAAGCACTTTAGATTTGCTACCCTTATACATTCTACACATTGCTCTCTGTCACTTAAATACGATTTTAGTAGTACGGCGGTTGTCCCCTAACTCTGTACCTATGCAATTTTTCTAATAATAGCTCGTGTGAAACGCAATCAAATGCTTTACTTAAATGAAGTAAAGTCATACCTATTGTTTCGTGAACTTCAAGTCTATTTGTTATGATTGATATAGCAGCATAAATAGCTTGTATAGTAGAGCGCTCGTTTCTAAATCCAAACTGATGGGAGTCTGAAAGAATAAGAGGTTTATTAATGTACTTTACTAGTCTTTCTTTCAATAACATTTCAAATATTTTAGAAATTAACGGAACTATAGTGAGATCGGTCGGTAATTATCATTTGAGTCTATTTCGCCCATTTTAAAAGTAGAAAGGACTTTGCTAATTTTTAGTAGTTTGGGAAACTTTTTTCATCTACCTATACATTTATTAAATAGGTAGGTACGTTAGGTAAGGTTTGGGTAAGGTTTGTGTTGGGTTTGGGTTAGGTCTGGGTTAGGTTAAGGTTAGGTTAGGTTAGGTTAGGTTAGGTTAGGTTAGGTTTAGGTTTAGGTTTAGGTTTAGGTTTAGGTTAGGTTAGGTTAGGTTAGGTTAGGTTAGGTTAGGTTAGGTTAGGTTAGGTTAGGTTAGGTTAGGTTAGGTTAGGTTGGGTTAGGTTAGGTTAGGTTAGGTTAGGTTAGGTTAGGTTAGGTTAGGTTAGGTTAGGTTAGGTTAGGTTAGGTTAGGTTAGGTTAGGTTAGGTAGGTTAGGTTAGGTTAGGTTAGGTTAGGTTAGGTTAGGTTAGGTTAGGTTAGGTTAGGTTAGGTTAGGTTAGGTTAGGTTAGGTTAGGTTAGGTTAGGTTGGGTTAGGTTAGGTTAGGTTAGGTTAGGTTAGGTTAGGTTAGGTTAGGTTAGGTTAGGTTAGGTTAGGTTAGGTTAGGTTAAGTTAGGTTAGGTTAGGTTAGGTTAGGTTAGGTTAGGTTAGGTTAGGTTAGGTTAGGTTAGGTTAGGTTAGGTTAGGTTAGGTTAGGTTAGGTTAGGTTAACACTCGGGGGTTGTTTGATTTTCGAAAGTTATACATCGTCGGAAAGGCCATTTAAAGACGCGTCGATAGACCCAAAGGGTCACTCAAGTTTCTCAAAAACGTCGGAGTTATGGCCGTAAGTGTTTTTCGAGACATTTGGGGTAATAACTCCGAAAAGTCGAGGTCACATGTCGGGGTCGAGGGGCAATTTCGAAAGCCAAAGAACGCGGCTTTCCAACGATACCTCACACTTTAAGATCGACTCGCGAATAACGAGGGGGCAGCCTCTCAAAGATTGCCAAATTTTGTCAAAATTTTCAAAAATTTTTTTCTCAAAAACCAAAAGGCCGATCGAGGAACGGATTACTTATTTCTTAAACGCCGGTCGAGTAGAGCGCACAAAAAAATTACGGTCCAAATCGCAGACAAAAAATTTTTTTCATAATCATCCCTTGGTCCCCCCTTCCAATTTTAAAAAAAAAACTTTTTTATTTACCGTCCGATTTTCAAAATTCGACCGGCGTTGGATAGATCTCGTCGAAAAAGCAAAAATCCAATCATAAAACGTTCGGGGTCATATATAAACGAGGGCGCTAGAGGGCGATTTAGGGGATGACAAAAAAATTAAAAATTGACGAAATTTGGCACACACGTTTGTACGGACCTTAGAAAGTCTCCGTTACAACTTTTACCCCTTTACGACCAAAGGGAAGGGTAATAGGGGGTGATAATAGGTTAGAGGTTAGGTTAGAGGTTAGGTTAGAGGTTAGGTTAGAGGTTAGGTTAGGTTAGGTTAGAGGTTAGGTAGCATTGAAAGCATGCTGCGAAATAAAATTACTATCTGATTAGGAGAATACAAATTCACTACTAAACTTGGATTTATTCTCAGTAGCCGGCTAACATTCAACGTGAGGGTCGTAAAGTTCGGTATTCTGCCAGGAAAACTTGCTACTACAAAACTCAAATCTTAAGGGCGCCAGATCTAGCGAGGTAATAAATCCTCTTGATCAAGGAGGATAGGCTCTTCCAAGCATAGCATAATGAAGGTGAAAAAAACTAGGAATTGTGGCAGAGAGGAATTTAATACGTCTGTATTTCGATTTAAAATTAAATATGATTAGTGTGTAA